TCTATTCTTGTAGTTTCTTTGCCTTCCCCTTCTGAACTTCTTTCAATGGAGTCATAAAATCAGACCTGTGGGTTTTGGATTAATTTTCAAGTTCAGAGAAAGTGACTGTTTTCTTGTTTTGCCTAAAGCAATGTGGAAAATAAGATGAGCAATGTCTGGTGTGGTTATGATTGTTTCCATCTGAAATTTAATATCTTGCCGGAGGGAGATTCAAACCTTAGGATATTTCTTTTAGCTGCTGCAGTTTAAAATATCCAGTTCTCTAACAGTTTTGATTGTTTGTAATAATTTTTATATATATCTTCTTTTTTTCATCCAGCCTCTGGATCAGATTGCGAAGTACTTCTCGGACCAAGAAATTCCATTTCCCAAAATTGAGATAAGTGAGGAAGACAGGGAAAACTTGAAGGAGTGCTATGTGTTTGAAGAGGCTGACAGTCCACAAGCTCCAACAGTGCTTTTCTTTCCCCTAGTAAATGACACCTTCAAGAAATATAAAGCTCCTGGTGAGTCATCTGTGATAGCAATTTTAATAAAATGTTGTTTTCCTAGTGAATTCTTTCTATTTCATATGTAATGTGTCTGTCACTGTCATCTCTGACCTTTCCAATGCCAGCATCGGTCTCATCACTGAAAAATATTACTGCTCTGTGTCAGTAAATCTGAACTATATGAACTCCAGAATCTTTCTTAAAGCACTTGGCATTCTTAAAGCACAGGCACTTATTTCACAAGAACTGCTAGAGATAGTATGAAAGCAAAAATTCTGATACTTCTACACCTTGAGGGGTAGGTTCTCAACACAAGATGTTTTACTCTATAGAAATGGACTTGTCATGCACTGCTGCTTGCCAACAAGGACAAGGAAAGAACTTCTGCTGGTTTTGGTGTGAAACCCATTCATTCAAGTTTTTTTCACATATTTAAAAGTAATCTCCCAGTCTGAGGCTTGTGTGGGCAGAGATCTTTGGTTTTAATTGAATTATATCCTCTGAGTGCAATGTTTTCTCCTGAACTTTCAGTGAGGTGGATATTATTTTATCTAGCACAAGAATATCTGGTTTTCTTTTAACTTATTATTTTCTAGTTGGGTAAAAAAGACTGTTGTCCCAGCAATGGTCTAGCATTGCTGCTGCTAATGTTTTTCTAACTTCAAGCTGTTTGAGTGATATAAATGTCAAATGATGTAAAATCTTATTTGGATAGAGGCTTGATCCAGATGCTGAAGAATACAGTGCTACTAGCACAGTATTTTTACTTGCCTCTGGCAAATTATATCTTTCCTTCCCAGTCTCCCTTTTCTACCTGTAATTATGTAAATACTGATAGTAGCTACATACTGCAATCAAACCTTATTGGTGCATCTCCCTGTGATTGTCCCCTTAGGTGAGGAAAGGAGTCCTGAAGAGATGGCTGAAGGCAAAGTTGATGTCTCCAGCATCCTCTCCCCGTTTACAACAAGAGAGGTGTGTTTCAGTGAAGAGAATTTTGACAAACTGGTGAAACTGACAGATTACAACGTCCTGAACAATGAGAAGTTGATTATTCAGGCCTTGCGCTTGGCAGTGGCACGGAGGAAGCAGAGGAATTATTAGCCACCACACACTATCTTCAATCTTTCATGTGGTATTTCTAGGTTGTCTATGGTTTGGTGAGGTCAAGATGTTTGATTCTTATCAGTGATACTTGCAGTGGAAATCACACCATCCTAAGGACATTCTGGACTCCACCCTATTTACATGGCTCTTCAGACAGATTGGAATTTACCAGTGGTTTAATCCAAAACAAACTTCAAAGCAATAAATTTGTTTTTAGTTTTGTTACCAAGTTACTTTACTAATTGTTATAGATATTGAATATAAATTATTATAATGTTGTGGAAGATAATAATGAATTATATGGCACATTAAAATTTGTATAAAAATAGTATTTATATGGTGTGTTTTCTTTGTGGCAGAACAACAATCCTTTGAACTGGAATTTCTTTGGTAAATGACTAATTCATTATGCTGGTCTTGCTTGTTTAATTATTGAAGGTTGTCATCTCTGATTTGATTGTCCACTATGAGGTTTTTATTTAATTGTCCTCACAAGTCTTCTTCAGAAACAAATAAGTTTCTGAAGTTAGTATCAGTGTTGTTAAAATTTATACCGTTTTCTCCATCAATAAAGAGTTACCCCTGCATTAGACAATTTTTGTTTCAGGAGATCAAACATGTCCTTTCTGAGCAGCTGTTCCCAGAACCATTTAGATTCAGCCTAAGCAGTAGATGTGTTGTCCAACTTTCCTTCACTTTTCTTTGGAGTTTCTGCTGACTGCCCTGTCTCACTCATCTTTACCTGCCTTTACTGTTCCTGAAGGATGACCTTGTGATTTCTCCCAGTGTTTCATAAGATGGGAAGTGGCTGCTAGCTGTTTGTGCAGAATAGGGCAATTGCAAGAGACCCTTTTGGGATTCTTTCCAGACATACCTTTCACACCTGTCCAACACTTACAGGAAAATGGTCTTTGCAGGGATTGTTCTGGGATACTAGTTTCTCATTACCAGAAATCCTAGAGGTCTTCTGGGGGACGGTAGTTGCCAAGACTCCTCTCACAACTCTCTAACAGGCAAATCACAAGCTTGGTCTTTCACAACATCAGCCTTGTACTGTGGAGCTGTGATTCATGAAGAGACTGGTCACAGGAGCTCAGCAAATGTTTTGGATAATCTTCCTTTTGTTAGTAAAATATTTCTACTGTTGCAAGGAAATTCAGACAGCAGGGCAGAGTTAGTGTTGAGATCAGGATAGTCTTGACTATCATCAGAAACAACAATTTTTTTTTTTGTATGGAATGAAGTTCTAGGTAATGGATGGTAGAAAATGATTTTTTGATTTATTCATAAAAACTAAAAATGCTGATGGGGCATCTAAGAGCATTTTGGGTGGTGGAGGAGGAGAGGGCAATGTTTTTCACTTATGAGCATGTTAATTGTGTTCATATACCTGAAACTCTTAAAAGAGCATGGTCTAACCCTGTTTTCAGGTACGATATTATATGCTTAAATCTAGATTATTGTTCCTCCATGTATGAGGCAGCTGTAATTGTGGCTCTGCTTCAATACACTAGAATATCTAGTTCAGGGATGCTTCTGGGTCCTTTCTAGAGACAACTTTGGGTTTACTGTCATGGTTTCCTAGACCTTTTTGCTGCAAATTAAACAGAGTAGGATGGAGGATTCCCTTGTTTTGTATGGGAAAGTTGATCAACAAGACAATGGAAAAAAGGTAGGTGCAATATGCAGCCTGAGACTGATTAATGCTGCTTTTTATTGTGTCCTGCTGGCTGACACGAAACCTGCCTTTCCCTCTGAGAGTTCCTACTACTCTCAAGCTCTTCAGTTTCCCCAGTGTTTCAATGTTGTCTTTTTGAAAGTAAGTACCAATAGTGATTGTTATATATATATATATATATATATTTATTTATTTATTTATTTATTTATTTATTTAATTTTTTTTTTTGTATTATTTTTAATTTCAAGTTATTTAAGATGACTGATAAAAACATTCAGGCTTGTAACTGTGCTTTTGCCATCTCTCTAATTGTCTTTTTGAGTAAGTACCAATAGTGATTGTTACATATATATATATATTTTTTTAAGTATTATTTTTAATTTCAAGTTATTTAAGATGACTGATAAAAACATTCAGGCTTGTAACTGTGCTTTTGCCATCTCTCTAGGAATATTTTCCATTTGGGTTATCTTCCTTTTACTGCTGCTTCTTGTGACCTGTTTGTTACCAATCCTTAATGTCTTCAAAATTTATCTGGTGACATTTGTTGGATCTAGTTCTTAGGTTAGAATGTCTTAAAGTGCCAGATATTTTAGGAAGTTAAATTATATCTTGTCATTGAAATTACCTTTATCAATGGGTACTCAATTAATTACAAAGTGAAATGAGATTATTTTGAAATGGATTATTAATTTTTATAATAGCAAGGCTGATTTTAAAAAGACAAAACCAAAACCCAAACTCCTTTTTTTTAACTTCTTGCATACTGATTTTGTCTACTCCCTCAATGAGGCATGCTGTGTAGTGTCCTGTGCAGTGAAGTCTTATAAATGTGAAGATATAGAGTATGTGAGAATGTGAGGAGTAAGTAACATTGGTTTCAAAATTTATTTCATCCTCCCAAATATATCCTCTTAGAGGTCACTCACTGAAGCATCTTAATTCAGATGCACAAAGTAACAAAATTTCTGAAAAAGTGAGCTTTTAAAGGTTTTTCACACAAGGGAAACTCTCTTATAGGTTCCACAGCTGATTTGGGAATTTTTTCATGCAGTATTTGTCACTGCAATGTCTGCTTGGCTGAATGACAATTTACTGCCTGAACAGAGCAAAATTGGAAGGTAAGATGGAGATGACAAAATTTCTTTCGGGTGTGTCTTTAAGCAAAGAACACAGAATACCTAAAAGCAATGAAAGCCACAAAAAAGCTTTTGTATGCACATTTGGATGGTCTGTTGGGATGCCCTTGGCCAAAGGAGTCCTGGGCAGATGGTCCCTGGCTGCTGCCAGTCACTTCCCCACAAGGGAATGCAGATTGACAGCTCACCAGTGGGCAAGAGCATTGTGGTTTCCTCAAAAAAGTGATGAGGTTGCTTAAAAGTGTAAAACATTTATTCAGTGCCTATAACCTTGAAGAGAAAATCACGTTTCAGCCTTCATTTCCCTCTACCTGTGAGTGCAGAGACCACCCTTCTGCAGTGCCAGAGGCAGGTGCTTTGGGGCAGGTGCGCAGCCTCAGCTCCCGGGCAGAAAGGAGGAGGAAGAGGAGGAGGAGGAGCTGGGATTGCTCAGGTGGTGGTGGGGGTGAGGCTGCGCTGAGTCAGGCGCTCACACACCTGCCTGCCGGCTCCTGGCCGCTTAAAGCACGGCAGCTGCCTGCCAGAGAGCCTTCGCACACATCCACTGCACGTTGCACAGCTGGCTCACACCGGGAGAGGACCGCGATGGGGCTGTTCTACAGCAAGAGCCAGGTAAGGAGAGGCAAGAGGAGGCTCTGCAATGGGCTGAGCAGGCTGCCCTGGGGGCAGAGGGGACCTGCTCCAGGAGGGGATGTCTCACCTCTTGTATCTTCAGCTCTGAGAGTTATCCTGAGCAAAGCAGGGTTTCCTTCTAACTGGGTTTTGTGGCAACTTTGTGTTTTGGCCTTCAGGAATACAAAAACTTTATTGATGTAGTAATTTACTATTTTGAAGATTCCCAATTATTAAAAAAAATAACAAAACCTTTTTGCTTCCACCCAACTGGGCTAAGCAAAACAACACACTGAGGAAAAATAAGGAGTTATCACTAATGTGAATGAATTAATAGGGAAAATAATGAAACTAATACTATGTGAGATGTCAAATATAGCTCTCTTTAAAATGTGGCAGTTTTGGGGCATAAGGGAATGAATGGTAATGTATTGTTATGTACTGATCTATGTATTTGTTGCAGTGATACTCCCTGCTCTGTAGGTAGTGTGCTGTTTCCTCACAGGTTTAAGTGTCTTTTGGTAACCACTTTTAGGTTTGGGTGGTTTCCCAAAATAATAAAAAGGCTTGGGTTGGAAGGAATCTTAAAAATCATCTAGCTCCAACCTCATCCCCAGGGGCAGAGGTATCACCCATTATCCCAGGTCGCTCAAGGCCTTATCCAACCTGGCCTTGAACACTTCCAGGGATGGGGCACCCACAGCTCTTCTGGACAGCATGTTCCAGTGCCTCACCACCCTCTGAGTTAAAGAATTTCTTTCTAATATCTGCTCTAAATCTCTTCGTTTTTTTAGTTTGAAACCATTCCTTCTCATCCTATAACTAGCTGTGTGAAAAGTCACTCTCCCTCTTGTTCATAAGCCCCCTTTAAGTACTGGAAAGCTGCAAATATTTCCTTTGATATATTCCTCAGAGCTTTGCTTAAAGGAAGATTGAGTGAGTTGAATTATTCACAGAGAAGTAATTAACTACAGAGTTGTGCCTTTCACTCACTCCTCCTGAGAAGTTTGGGATAGGTCTCTGGAAGGCCCTTTCCAGGTCCTCATTTTTTAAAAGACAGCACCTATGTCTCTATATCAGACATAAGAATGTAATTATGTAGCTATAAATCAACTGATGAGCAGCATCATTACACCATGATATCGTTACTAATTCCTGCCCTGCTAGATTGTTTGCTGTTTGTTGTGAAATATAATGGATATATATGACATCCTGGGAATTTTCTCAGACCAAGATGTGTGTCAGCTGTATTAATAACACAGCAAGGTTCTTTATCACACCTTTCTATGAGATTGGGTTGTAAGAGTCAGATACCTCAAGATGAAGGTTTACCACAAGTGGCCTCAGAATGGACAATGGAGGATGTCAGAGGTCTGGTCAGTGATCACACCTGGCTACAAACCTTCTGGGAAGAAGTCAATGCACAAGGAGGAACTTCAGTTCAGAAATGTTTTTGTTGTTTGGAACTGAAACGCTAATTCAATTTTATCTCTGACTACACTTTTGTTCTTCCTTTCTGCATTCTCATCCCATGCATTTTGTGTGCTTTTCAACAGACAGAACCGTCTCCATGCAACTTGCTCACTGTAAAAATCATACAGATGAAAAATGCCAGGAAAGCAGACTTGTGTGAGTATTTTGGCTATACCCCTGGAGCATCCTCATGCTACTCTGAATATATTAAGTGTCACAAACACTGCAGACTATGTTTAAAAAGAGAGAGATAGAAGATGTGTGGTACGCTGAAGATGAGGCAACACAGTTAGAAGACACTGTATTTTCAATATCTTTGTCCATATAACACTGAAGTCTAGCTACCAGTAGTAATGCAGAACGTTTGCACAGATTGCATAAAATATTTCACATCTGAATCTGCAAATAAACGTTCTTTTATTCACAGGAAAGATTGCAGTAAGAACTTTATTTCAATGGTTCCTTCTTACAGAAATGTCCACCCAGTGTAACCCTGGGCCTATCAAAGAATATTTGATGTGAGCTCAGAGCTGCACACTTGGCACCTCTTATGGATTATCAAGTTCATTCAGCAATAGGCGTGGCTCACAGTTAGCTTTTACTATTTTTAAATACTTTTACAACCTGCCCAGGAATGATAGTTATGGAAATATTTATTATAGTTATGCAAATATTTATTAATGGTCCATAAATATCTCAACTGTGAAACATTAAAAAAATGGCTTGACAACCACCTCCTCCTATCTGAGAAGAGGGCTGATTGTTTTGCATCTGTTCATTTATACACATAGAAAAGTGTGAATGTAGAAAGTTTCTATATGAGCAGGAACAAGCTAAAGTTGTTCACCTAAAAAGATCCAGGACAAGATGGTTTTGTGCCTTTCCAATATTATTTGCTTCAAGTTCTGCAACAGTTTGTATGGAGACCAAAGGTATGTGAAGAAGAGTTTTTCACTCTGTTTTTTAGCGAAGGGCAGTAAGATGCTTTGCTGTTGATGAATGTATGGGGAAGAAGAATCCATATGAACTTTCTCCCTAGACTACTTCTACAGCATGGAAAGCATATTTGAAGCTCAGTTATAGTTTGGAGAGAAATCCCTTCCTACAGCTAAAAGCTATTTAAATGTACAAACATGCACACTGAGCTGAAAAAAGAGGTGAGGAAAAATTGCAACCCTTAGATATCTCCCTAGATAAGTATGTTCTATTAAAACATCTGCATGACAATGAGCTTACCAAAATTCCTCTTGGCCTTTTTCTCATCTAGATCAATGCTTTTCATTTTCATCTTTAGGCTTTTTTTTTTTCCTGAATGGGGTTTATTTTGTTTTGCTGTTGTTCTATCAATATAAAAAGTTTCTAGGGCACGGAACAGGCAGTGAAATGCTCAGCCTTTTCTGCTTCCCAGTCCAAGCCATGTCCCATCACCCCATTAGCTTTCTAAAGGAGCAGTTAGTGTGACAGAGGTGATTTTGGAGGGAAGAAATTTTGCACAAAAACCCCAGGATACACACTTGCAAAAGGTGAATGCTTTATTTGTTGTGGATGTTCATCATGTAGGAAAAGAAAATTATACCAGTCAGGGACCACTACCTTGTTTATGTTTAAATGTTGAATCTAATTTTGATTGACAGCTGCTTATTCCAGTAGTATTTAATTTTACTGAGTGTGAAAATTTCAGCTCTATTTATCAGAATGATTTGCTTTTAAACTGTTTGAGGACATATTTTTCTATGCAGTCAGAATTACAGAAGTCACAGATTTCAATGACAGGCTCTTTATAATTGAAAGAAACCTATATTTCAAAAGCTTTCAAAATTAATTTAACCTCTGCTTAGCTTTTCTGACAATGTAAAAGGTAGTGCAAATTTAGTGTTCTTAATTTTATTGGGCTTCCACCGAAAAGCAGTAAAATGGGAGTCTTGAGATAAAAATGCAAACAAAATTTTGCTGGTTTGTGTAAAACCAGGGGAGTATTGTTGATTCAGTCATCTTTACAGCTCTCTAGACTTTAGCTTGACACAGGCTTACAAACTCAGATGCACATGTCCTTCATCACCAGCAAAGTAGACTTCTGTATAGGACCATTGTCCTAACACTGATTTTTTTTCTCATTCTTCCTTTTCTCAGCCCTGTTTTTATTACTTTCTATTTCTTGCAAACATTTATAGATGGACCAAGATTGCAAGTGTCACCTATTTTTCATTCACTTAACCAATTTTTGACATTTTAAATTGGCTTCTTCTATCCCTTGCCAGTTGTGCCTAACCTTGCACTAGGTTTCTGTAGAGTTTTCAGATCACTTTGTTTAATATTTATCTAGTGCTTAAAAGGTCTCCCAACCTGGTGCTGCAGGTTAACTTTATTATTGGTCTATCTGCTCTGTTTTTCAGGTAATAGAGATGGGAAAATTAATCCATAACAAGAGAATCTCAAAACCTCACTACCATCTCTTATGGAATAGGTAGTAAATGACCTTTAATAGGAGTTCAGTGCATAAGAGAGTGTTTTTAACTAAGACAATTTAAAAGATTTCCTTCTGCTTTTTAAATCCTGAATCTTCTTAGTGCACCCTTCCCACTGATCCCTCAGTGTGTATTTTATAACACAAATTTCCACTTGTGTATTAATGCATATCTGATATCATTAATAACACATATGAATGTAGTGCCGTGTTTATGTTCTTCACATTCCCCTTTCTCACTGAGCACACCCACAAGCTCATCAGGCCCATTGGGCCTCTTGATACTCCTGGACCTGTGGTTGCTTGCCAGTTCCCAGATTTGGGTGTGTCCTCCACAAGCATCCTGATTCCCTAATGGGTAAGGCTTGGATGTGCATCAATCCAACCCACCCTTAAATACACAGCTTTGTCTCCTGAGATTTTGCAAATTTCAAGATCAGCTGCTCACCTTGGGCAACCACCATGGCTCCGGGACAAACAGAAGGACTTGGCTTTTACAGCATGTGGTTCAGCTTGGGAGTTCCCCATGGCAGGAGATCACAAATGCCAAAGTTTATGCAGGTTGCAGGCAGAGTCTGGACAAGTTCATGGAAGGAAAAAAAAAATCCAGTTAAATAGGCTCAGGAAGTCTCTGTATTGTAAATTGTAAGGACTGATAGAGCAGTAAATGATGTTTTCCCTCTTACACTCCTTAGACACCCATTTATAAATGTGAGGCATGACGTCCATCCTTGATAAGACCAAAGGTCCTTCCCAAAAAAAGTGGGCAAGGGGACTAAAAACCAAGATGCTGCAGAGAAATTAAGTCTTTAAGTGGAGTTAACAAATAGAAAAGCAGGGAAACAACGTGTTAAGGGTTAAACAACGTGAAAGTAGGCTACTGCATGGGGATACTAAGTTCGGCAATTTTAAGCCATCATTATCTGCTTCCTGAAAAAACCCAAGACCCCTCAGTGGACACTGAATGTGGGCCCTTGGCTAAATGGACCTTGACCAGTATAGAGTTAAAAATATTCTTCATTATTTTCTTAGTAAGAAAGTTATATTTTTTAAAGCTTTTACTGTTTTTTTTTTTCTTTTAACTGTACTTTTTAATTTTGGAAATTAAAGTTTTGGATTTTTTTAAATAAGACAAATTTGGGTGCTATATTTTATAAAATTATTAAGTATGTTTTATATTTTCAACAAAACATTTTTACAGAATTGCAGTAGCAGTTCTGCCACATATGAAATCAATTCATGTGAAAGTCCCTTGAGAACCAGGAAAATAATACAGTCAGTTAAATACATTATTGTTTGAGGAACTGTGTTCTACCACGATATTTATTGCAGGAACACACAGACTTCCTCTGGCATTCTGCTCTTGCACTGTTGTTATTGTTTCATTGTTATTTATTTCTTACTTCACCATTTAAGCAGTTGCAACTACACACCAGCAGCTTATTGTTCTGGGTGCTGCATGAAATGCGATTATAAAATCAGAGGATATGGAATGATAAATACAAACAAGGAAGGTTGTTTAGCAACATCTCAACAAAGGAGTGTTATAAGGAGGGATGAAAATGAGATTATATAAATAGTTTTAGGGATACTTGTAGGGTGCTCCACCCAGAGTGAAGGGCAGGGTGGGAGAAAGTGTGAAAGCTTTTTCTTGAAGTTTATCTATCAGAAGATGAATACTGAATGCTCCCTGGGGGCAGGAACTGATCTTCTTGGACAGAATGAATTCTGATAGTCTGCCTGTAAATTGCCTTCTGGAAGGCCACAGAAGTAGCCCACATTCTTATTTAAAATATAGTATTAAAAGTTTCAATTATATCAGTTATCTAGTATTTTGCCCTCTAGAAGACAGTGATGCTGACTTGTCCCCCTGCCTTCAGCCAGATACCTACTCAGCTATGAAGTAGGAGAAAAAAAAGAAAAAAGCTCCTCTCAACTGGTGTTGATAGCTTACATTTTGTGACCTGGCTGGATCCAAGTGCAGGGAGACAAGGTCACCGAGATGATCTGGACAAACAGGTGTGAGACCACATTCTTGGTTCAGATCCTTTCAGCACAATCAGAAAAAGCTATACCCTAAGTATCATTAAAAAATCTACCTCCCAGAAACAATAAGGAGCTAAAGGCAGTCCATGAGGAGAAGGATGCTGGAGGCTTCTGCCCAGGTTACAGGTGGGCTGAAGCTTACAGCTGTTAACATCAAAAAATGAGATGGAATTAAAATGAAAATGTTTGGTTGAGCCCTGCTTAAATTTGAGCTCTCTATGAGGCAGGTGAGATTTCAGCTCAAGCCAGATGTGTGGGTGTCCTGATGTTTGGGATGCAGCATGGGACTGTGGCTGGGTCATGTTGTTGTAATGCTTCCTAATTGTAAAGTGCAATTAAGATCCAGTCCTGCCTGCTTTAACCTGGAAGATAATTAGACATGTAGTGTAATAACTGGATGAGGAGACCATGCTTTCATAACTACCTGCTGCCACACCTGCTTTTGGCCGGATATTGCCCCACAGGAATATCATGGCTGCCATCCCAAGCATGTTTGACAGCTGTTAATGTGTCATGGTGGAGGGGAGGGACCCAAGAGGTCTCTGGTGTGATGCTGTGCTGTGTGTATCCTGTGAGAGCCTAGCTGCTGTAGTTAGGTGTTGCTTAGGCTGACAAACAGGGTGGTGGGGTTTGCTCGCACGTGGCTGGCAGTGTGAGCCTTGCATGTGTGCGTGCAAAGGCAGAGGGATATTGCAGTGAGACCCCCCAGGCAGGGCACAGGGTGGGCTGTGGAGTGTCATTTCTCACACACCTGCTTATACCTGGGGGTGGTCAGGCAGAACAGCAGCCTGACGTATCTGAGATGTGTAAAAAGGGTTCCTGGGTGTTTTAAATGCCTCCCTCTTAACACCTGGAAAATAATTTACAAACAAGAGGTAATTAGGTTACAGAGGACTCTTCTGAAGTGCAAAGAGCATCACCAAATGCACTTTGCAGATGGGAAGAGGGAAGCACGCTTGCCTAGTGGCTGTCAGAAGTCTCCCAGAGAAAGTCAGAGATTAAATGAGAAGTCAGGGCTCTGCTGACAGGTAGTTATTTCTCAAAGGTGGATCGTACAGTGCAGTAGCAGACAGTGACCCCTTACAGACAAAAATAACTGATGCAGTTTCACAATACTACTGTGTTCTTTGCAACAGATGAAGTCAGAACATGTGTTATTAATTGGGAAATGTCAATGAAATAAACTTTGTTTCACCAATAGACTTACTCATTTGGATCCTTCTGATTCTTCTCTTAGTGGCGACAAGAGCCAACAGCAATCTGTGCTAATATGGGTCTGGGCTTCCCAAGAGCCAAAAAAGATTTTTGTAGGCACATTTCCTTATGCACACAGAATTTTGGGAGCTATTAGAATTGTTAGAAGCTCAGCTGATTGCTATAAGTTTTGATGGTTTTTTTAGAAATCATATATCTTATTATATGTGAAAACTATTTCATCAGTCAAAGTTACTCTTTCATTCAAAGCTACTCAGAAAAGATGACTGAAGCCTCAGAGAAATCAGGGGCAAAAAAAAAAGGCTGATTTTGTTAATTCTTGAGTTACACATGAGGAGTCAATAACGGGTCAAGTCAATTATTTTGCAGTTCCCGATGTCAAGACTGCCAGTAAAACTAAGTGTGACAAGACTTAGGCCTATTCAGATGCTGTTCAGATGAAGGTGTGTCTGCTGTGTGATGGCAGGAATGCTTGAGTACGTGGCATCACAAAAAGAGGAAATATAATCCTACTAATGGGATTGGCATTTATGGCAATGCTTCCCATGCTGTCTTTGGTATTTGTGTAGGTTGTCGTCCTTAACTAAGAGATCATGTTCTGTAGGGTGACCATCCCTGACTTTTGAGTGTGGGTCCACAAGATCATTAATCTAATGATTCATGCTTGCTTTTTTATTTCCTAATAATGATGACAAATCTATTTGCCAGTAGATTATTTTGACCTCAGAATGAAAGTGCTTGTTGATGATGCAAGCCCTGCAGACTGCTGCTAACCACTCCTTCCTACTAAAAGCTCCTATGTGGAGTTCCGGTGGGAAGCCACATTTTATAACTGGCCACTTCATCTGAGAAAGGAAAGTAAAAACACTAAAGCTGCCCCCGCTACATCTGGAAACATTAAAGTTAATAGGTGAACTTTATGACCTGTACACGCCTCGAATGGAAACAGCAGAGCAATGCAATTTTGTGCAAAGAAGCAATGTCAGCTTGCTCTGTGCAGGGAACAACAGACAAGCTTCCACCTGTACATGAAGTGTTGCAAATACCTTTGCCACTCTGGCTGAGGCACAGAGATGCAGGTGAAAATAGTGACATTAAGCAATACCTTTTTTTATATAGCTTTATTGCTGAAAATTCTGCCTCAATAGAGCTGATTCTCAAGGCACATGTCATCCATCAAACTTCAACATTTCAATGCTTTTCTTATAATCTTCACAGAAAATTAAATTCAATAATTTCATCCCCACAGGTAATTAATCTTCTTTTCTTGAAATTTTTTCTTTATATTTTCTTGAAAAACTGTTGCTGAGTGTTTCCTTTTTAAACTTTCATAAGGAAAGAAAGCAGACTGAAATCAAGTGCCTTGGTAGAAGATGTGCCTTCTGTGACAGAGATTTGGCTTCATGGGAACCTTGACTGCAACAAGCTCTTGCCTCCTCTGCACTGGCAGCCTAGAGGAAAGAAAGGGTGCTCAGAAAGTAGACAAGACAGAACTAACAGCCAGACTACTGTAGACATATAAAGACATGTTCATGAACAGAGATTTGGCTTAAAGGGAACCTTGAATGCAACAAGCTCTTGCCTTCTCTGCACTGGCAGCCAGAGGTCCTAGAGGAAAGAAAGGGTGGTCAGAAAGTAGACAAGACAGAACTTACAGCCAGACTACTGTAGACATATAAAGACATGTTCATGCTTACCTGTGGAAGCCCAGTGTGTAGGAGCTGGGCTCTGTCCATGTGCAGCCCCTGTCACAGCTGCTAATGTCCACAGTGGCCAGCCCTGTGAGGCCACTAAGTGTGTGCCTCTGTGTATATGGATGGCTCTTCAGCAACACAACTGAGTATTTTGAATGTTTCTTTTTTTTTCTCCAGGACTTGAAAAAAAGTAGTTCTCAAGAAGAGTACACTGACAGGCTTTCACAATAGTAAAGCAAGCTGGTTGTCTAGTAGCAGCTTGATGGTACCTTAGCTAGTACCAGGCCTGAATTCTGTGTATTGCTTTGGGTACAGAGCTTAAAAATGTCCACCTTACAAGGGACTAGATTGTTGCATTGGTCCATTGCTTTCCTGCTTTCCCTGTCTTTGACAGTAAGTCAGTCTGAAGGCAGCTTGAGTACCTTAGAGGCTGGTTGTCTAGAGGCAGCTAAGGTACCTTAGCTAGTACCAGGCCTGAATTCTGTGTATTGCTTTGGGTACAGAGCTTAAAAATGTCCACCTTACAAGGGACTAGATTGTTGCATTGGTCCATTGCTTTCCTGCTTTCCCTGTCTTTGACAGTAAGTCAGTCTGATTGCTATGTGAGCCTGAGCCTGCCAACAGCCTCAGTGCAGCACTTCCGCACCAAGACTGTCCAGAACAGCAAGAATCCGACATGGAACGAGACCTTCCACTTCACGATTCAGAGCCAGGTTAAGGTAAGTCTGCAGACACCTCCAACAGCTATTCTTACCAGATATCAAGCATACCACATAGCCCTGCAGAGCTGAAGAACTTTCTGAGATCCCTTGTAAAGTTTTCACACTCTCTTACTGTACTTAAATTTTGATTGTTTGATAAGACTGTATCTGCCTGCATAGTCAATAGAGTACACAGAGAGCAACTGCAATATTTCTGTTTTTCATTCTTTCCCAAGGTTCTTCTGCTAAGATGAAATATCTGTAACATGTTATATTTGTTAAACCTTTCATATTTATTTATTTTTCTCCCCAGAACATTCTGGAGCTTAAAGTTTGTGATGAGGACAAAGTAACTGAAGATGACCATCTCCTCACTGTTTTCTTTGATGTCTCCAAAATCCAGCTTGGAGAGAACATTCAGCTAAGTTTTCAGCTGAATCCACAGGTATGGATAAAATTCAAGGACAAAGCAAAGCAGGTGTGGTCAGGTGAGAATATGCTTGTGTGGAGAACATGCCAAGAGGGAGCAGGGGGGAGCAGCCACCAAGAGGGCCCTGCAGTATGGATTCCATGTCCTGCAAGGCCTACACTAGGAGTCTGCTAAATCAGTGGATAAGATGCTAGGAATATATGACACTAGAATTACAACAGATACAACATGACTGAAATTAGGTCTGTGGCATGTGAAGCAACAAAAGGTGGATGCTGGTTTATAGAGACCCCTGAAGGGCACAGATTCCTGTAGGGTATCTCTCTCCACAGGAGACCAAGCTGTGGTGACCTCCTTAATTTTCTTTTGCAGGGAAAAGAGGAGCTGGAGGTTGAATTCACAATGGAGAGCAGGTGTGTAAGATGAAATAGCTGGAGGTGTAAGATGGAAACACAAGGGTACTGCTAGAAATCAGTTCACACTTGCAGCCCCCTAACACTGCCAACATCTGAATGAAACAGAAGGTAACTTTGGGTAGAGTGTTTAATGTAGCAGGAGTGCATGATGGTGCATGGTATGCATGCATCTACATTGGGCATCCAGACACACAGAGATGCAAGCACAGGTGCTAGTGGGAGCATAGAGATATCCCTGATGGCAGCTGCTCATCAAGCTGAAAGGCACTTTCTACATAGGAAGAAGTTTTAAGTTTCCCCTCTTGTTCTTTCCTGTGGGATCCTAGATGTTTGCTCTATCATAACAAGTTGTTTTTTTTTCTGTGTTTCTTTGCTGACTGTATAGTTAATGGAGAGAATAAACATGTAGATCAGCTGATTTTTTAAGCCTAATGGTAATTTTTTTCTCCCTTGAGCTGAAAGGCGCTTTCTACATAGGAGGAAGTTTTAAGTTTCCCCTCTTGATCTTTCCTGTGGGCTCCCAGATGTTTGCTCTATCACAACAAGTTGGTTTTTTTTTTTTTCTGTGTTTCTTTGCTGAGTGTATAGTTAATGGAGAGAATAAACACGTAGATCAGCTGATTTTTTAAGCCTAATGGTAATTTTTTTCTCCCTTTTTTATGCATGTTGGATGAATTCAGCAGCTTTTTAGCTCTGATTCTACAGGTTTGAACTGAACAATTTTGGACAACAGAGTGATTATGCTATTCCTGTGTAAATTGTATTCAGAGTGTCAGAAAATGATCCTCTCTAATACAGTGAGGAACTCCTCTGTTTGGTGGATGTCAACAAATGTTTCAAAATTGAGACTCTAACCTGTGAGAAGCAAATTGGATAAAATATGCATGTGGAACTTCTGATTCTGTTTATTTGTGCTGCCCGTACAAAGATGGATTTTATCTTTAAAAGATAATGAAATAATGCTTAAAGAAGAGTCAGAAAAAGAGAAAAATAAGAATGTTCTGGTTTTGAATTGATTGTTTTCCATTTTGCCTTTCAGTCCCGATCCTCCTGAAAACATTATTACTAATGGAGTTCTAGTGGTAATTTTTATTTCATAATCCTTTTCCCTTCTGTACAGGAATGCTTGTTGCAAAGCTGGTGTTAAAGGTACCAGGCCATTGTGGTGGCATGGAGGCATTGACCAAGACCAACACACACAGCCTAAAGCTGGTGTTGGCATTGGCTGTCCCATGTGGTCCCAGCTAGTGACTCGTGCTGGGGGAGGTTCAAGTGATGAAAGTCTGAGCTGCTGCCAGTGCTCACCTCTGCCTAAACTGGGCTGGGCTCAGGGGTATGATATCCCTCCCTCTCTCTGCCTGGGGAGAGCTGGGCACCCTGCCTGGAGAGCCTCCTGCTGTGGCTGATCCTCCCCAGGTCCTTGCAGGGCCACGCTCGGGCAGAGCGAGCAGATCCCTGCTTTTTCCATATCTCTATGCATTTTCCATGGGGAAGTCCAATCCCATCTCCCTAGACCGAGAGTGGGCTTACAGGCTGGCACCACCCCTCCCCTGAGGTCTGTGCCCCAAAGGCAGAGTGAGCAGATCCCTGCTTTTTCCTCATCTCTATGCATTTTCCATAGGGAAGTCCAATCCCATCTCCCTAGACCTGAGAGTGGGCTTACAGGCTGGCACCACCCCTCCCCTGAGGTCTGTGCCCCAAGGCCCTGTGAGCATGTGTTGGTGGACTGGATGAGGTCGAGCTCTGCTGACACTGAATGCCCTTGTCTCTTGCCTCGTTGTCTCTTCCAGTCCCGTGAGGTTTCCTGTTTGGACGTGCAGGTGAACGATGGGAGGCTGAGGAAGGACACCATGGGTGAGCCTTTCACTGACTTACAGGGCAAATCGGGTTGCCACTCAATGGCAGAACCACCCCGTGTTTCACACTTGAACATGCTGGTTTTAAAATTATTTAGGATGCAAGACAAAATCTTACTGATTCCAGTGGCCTGTGGAGGTGGTTGTAGTTGATCAAAAATATACAGATTATTCCTGAATTTGGTGACATGAGCATGTGATCTAATTTTCCCACAAAATATTTTCCTCTGCAGTGACATCTTGCCATATATTGACAATTTTCCAAAGCAGTTGTGCAAGGAATTGAGGTTTTTTGGGTCCTAAACTTGAAGCTAACTCCTGTTGTCTCTGGATTCTGGGACAAAGTAATGGGGAGAATGAGAATTGGGCCTCTTTTACCACCTAACTTCATAGAATTTCTTCAGGTATAACAATATAAGACATGCCACTGGGTGAAACACAAGACACAGTATATTAATTAAGACATTTGCTGCACTTAAAGCAGTGCATCACTGCCATGTCAAGTCCATACTTGTGGAACTGTGTGCCTCCTACACAATTTTTAAAGTATCTTCTGATATCTCATGATGACCCGAATCCAGCACACTCCTTAAGCACCTGGATGATCCAGTTGAGCTCAGAGAAGAAGTTTGCTAGATGTGACTGAAAATGTTTGAATGAGGTAATTCTTTTGAAGGCTGACTATATACTTTGGAGTGTGTAGGTTTACAAAATATATTTCACCTTGAACCTCGTGGGTTGATATCTTTCTACATAAAGGCCATTTATTATTACTTCAACAGACATATCAGATACTTTTTGCATGAAAGGAAAAAACCACCAGATATTATTTAAGTGCTAGAAATATTTCAAAAGAAATATTACTGGTTGAAGGAAAGAGAAGCATGAATTGATTGTTTGAAGCATGATAAAATGATAAAACATGAGATTTAACTGATACCAAAGAGAGCTGTGGTCTGATAAAAAAAAAATAGTGTTTCTCATAAAGGTCCAAAATTTTTGAAGTATCTCAGCAATAAGGTGGTATGTAATATTCAAACATCATTCTGGTGTAATAATAAGGTATTTTATACATTTCAGACTTTCAGAAGACAGTGTCCCCCCAAACTATTATTGGCTGGCAATCATCACTTAATGAACAGAGCTGTAGTTTCTGCTGTGACATGTATATCAAAGTGGCGCTATAGCTACAGTCACTATATGGCACATTCTGTGGAACATCTCTAAAACTGAAACCCTCAGATAAATCAGTCTATTTATTCCTCCTATAATTTGGGTATCAGATTGACGTTGTTACTTTAGGAAAGCATATATTACATTAATGCGCAAAAAAATTATACACATCTTTTGAAGACCTTAAATTCGAACACTTTTGCTTCAGAGAGAAAGTTTGCATTAACTGTGGACGGGTCATATGAAGGAACCCAGACGCACACGCTGAGCTCCTGCCTGTGCCCGACGTCCCCGGCCAGGTTCCACTACATCAAGTACAACCAGTCGGCGCTCACTGTGGCTCTGCCGCGGCGCAGACGGCTCAGCAGGGTATGTGAGCACCACTGACATGCAGCTCTTTCACTGGGGACCTCCAGAACCCGAGAGTGTGTGCTGGGAATTGGGTAGTGCATGTGTGGGAGACAGGGGAGACTGCTTTTACCTTTTTCCTCTGTCTCCTTTTTTTTTTTTTTTTTTTTCAGAATCGGTAACTTGTTTATTCTTTGTCTTACTCTTTTTTCCAGTCTATATCAAGCCAAAATGAAAGGGATATGAACGAATCTGTGACTCTACCTCTGAACTCGCTTCCTATACAAGAGAAAATAGCAATAGGAGAGGTGAGAACAAGTCTTTTTTAACAGGAAACAGCCCAACACCATTCAGTTCAGTGGATGATTAGTCTTAGAGCTCAGTGATTCAGTTCCTGTCAGACATGGAACATGCTATGGTGTAAGGTGTGAATGACAGTCGCTCTGCAACTATGCAACAGTTACTTTTTCTTCTGTTTTGCAGTGGATCCAGGCATGCCCTCTGAAACCCTGTTCTGAGTTTAAACTAACTTCCTCAGGACATGCCTAATATGTACATTTATCAACATAGTATGCACCTTATTAGGACTTATATTTGCAAAGTGAATGCCTGAAGTAGAAAATAAAGTAGAGATCATCCATATGTGTATGATTCAGATGCTCAGCTTTCAACAACCTTCCCAAAAAATTAATGTTAATCTATGAGAAGCTATGGGGCTCTAAGCTCACCTAGCTTGGGTGAATGGCTTACTTTTATTCAACCCAGAGTGTGCTGGAACTTGTGAAGGTCTCTCACAGTCCAGACCATTGCTGGTGAGATTCTCCAGCCACATTGCTGAATTCAAAGATAGTGAAACTCAGGCCCTAGATGGAGAGGGGGAGGAAGGTGCAGGACTAACAACCTGAGCATGCTTACACTGTTTGTATTGCAATTTTCAGGACAGGACAATTGACTTGTACACAAAGGCAAATGAATGGTAAGTGAGTCTCCAGCAAGACCTGATTCTGTAACTGGGGGGCATCTGTTCCTACGCAAAGCTCATTTGAAATCAGCAGGGGTCGATGCAGGCTCAGATGGGAGCAGATGTGAGAGTTCATTATGAGTTTCAGGCTTTTATTTGTGAGGGTCTCCTTTTAAATTGATGGCAAATTAAATAACGGGTCCCCTGTATTTCCAAGCTGCTAGTGCATCTCGGCAATAGGTCTTGATTTGTGTGCACTATTATGCCCACAGATGGAGAAATCACATTTCTGAATTATACAAACAAAATAACTTAAAGGCATGGTAGCTGTTTCTCTAATCTCACAGCTGCAGTGCCTGTTAACAGCAGTTATATAGTTACAGGATGCATGGCAGCACTACTGAAACTTGAAAAATTAATTATATGAGCAAATAAAACCAGAAGTCTGTAGTAGATACCGTAATGGACAGTGTGTCATGATTTGCTCTGCCTTCCTATTTCGCATTCTCATTTTCAGCTACAGCAGTTGGCAAAGGCCTGTCTGTGGTGTTGTTTTTTCCCATTTATTACTTTATACTGTCCACAAGCTGGTCTGTAAACACACACAAGCACAGCTGGAGTTGTCCACAGTGACTAATAATACAAAAATACCTGTGCCCTGGTCTCAGGACTCAGGGTCTCTGTTTCAGACCAAGAAACCTTGATGCTCGCCTGGGGTTTGACCTCTGCACAGATGAACAGAATTTCCTGCAAAACCGAAGGAAAGTAGTTGCTGCTGCACTAAAGGAGGTTCTTCATCTGGAGGAAGATCTGCAAGAGCATGAGGTAACCACTTAAGGGCATTTTGGGGGGATTTTTCTCTCTCTTTTCCTTCAAGCCTGAAGATAAGGGATTATTTTTTTACCTCCTTCTGGATAAGGAGTGAGGCCTGTTAACATCAGCTCATCCTCCAGGGCACTTTGCTACCAGCGTGATCTCAGCTGGAGAGTTCAACTGTCTGTTCAGATGAGCAAAATCTCTGTTTCCACTCAGCTTACAAGTGAATTATTGGAAGGCATTTCAAATCAATAGTTTGGTCTGTGTTTCTTAAAAATCCTCTCTGAAGTGCCAAGACCTAGTTTATTCCACGGGGTTGTACAGTAAAGAGAAATGTTGCTTTATCTCTTAATTTTTGTGTTTTATCTTACTAGTGTCTGGGTGCTGCCTTTGAGTTTCTGTAATCTTTTAACATTATTTGTGCCTTAATGCCACTCTTTTATCTATGCTTTCCACTCTTTTTTGGTGTCAAACAGGTGCCTATAGTGGCTGTGACCACAGCAGGGTGTGGCATAAGAGCACTCACTGCCATGTATGGCAGCATTTTGGGTCTCCAAAAGTTACGTGTTCTGGATTGTGTTTCATACATCAGTGGTTCATCTGGAACAACGTGGTAAGGAGTCATTTTGATGCTGTTGTTTGGATCTTGCTGTGTTAAGAAAAGCCTATGTTCTGTCTCGGTTTCAGAAAGGGTAAAAGTGATCAATTGAGTTATTGCTTCCATCTTTGGGCTATGGATCACCTATGAAAGAATTATTGTGCATCATGACCTATCTCTAATCAAAAGAGGAGATTTTATTGGAAGTGTAAAGATCCTTAATCCTGTGGAAAATGAATTGTTATTTACTGTTTGACAGAAACAGTATCGACAGGTGTTGTGTTGTATCTCAGATTAAGTGATTTTTGACTGGTTCCTTTAGACTTTCATTTCTGCTCAAAGTAAACTCAAAGAGAAGAATAACTAAAAGATTAAATGATACTCCTCCATAACTCTACAGGGTGTATTCTCTGAGTTTCAATAGCATCTTGTTAATTTCTCCCTGCATTCTATCATGTTTCTTGTCTGCAGGACAATGACAAAGCTATATGAAGATGCTGACTGGTCACGTAAGGATCTTGGGGAAGTAATTGTTGAAGCACGGAAGCAAGCAGCCAAATGCAAGATGGGAGCTTTTTCCTTGAAAAGTCTGAGGAATTATTACAGAGAGCTGAGCCAAAGGACCCAAGCAGGACATAAAACATCTTTTATTGATCTGTGGGGGCTCATGATTGAAGCCATGTTAAATGATGGGGTAATGTCTATACATCTTTCTTCTCATATTTAATATTTTCAACCATTATTACTTCTCATACTTAATATTTACAACCACTGCAAGAAACTAGAGCCCTAGGAAGAGACACCTGGTCAGTAACACTGTACTTGGTGCATAGGCAGAGCACCACTTATTTACATTAATAACTTGTAGACAGAGTGTATGTCTACACTGGAGCCTGAAGTGTGATTGAATGTACCAGAAATACTCAGACTCGCTCCAACGTAAGCAGAATGCTGATTAACACTACTGTTGTGCAAGAAATTTCTAAGTTTCTTAGGTGTTTTTTATGCCCCTATGCTTCTATCTCTCCATTGCTGCAATATTTGTACAAGCTGCACTCTTAACTTGAATGTACTGTAGAGGTACCCATTATGTCCAGCAGCTTGTGACTTAGTGATAAGAAAGTATATAGATCCAGAGCTGGTGAGATATATTAGCTACAGTGGATGCCTTTCAGTGATTTTGAATTTGATCTCCCAGGATGTCAAATTTCTAATTTTATTGTAATGACACAAACAAAAACTTTCCAAATTTTTTCCAGACTGGTGATAGCTGGAAAAAAAGTTATTTTATTTCAAAATTCTGTAAACATGGTTTACTTTTTGTCCAGATTAAATAGATAAAATTAAATACTCTCATTTTATATCATATTCCACAAAGTGTTTCCAGCCTCAGTGCTACACAGCAAAATTTGCTAGAATATAATTTGTCTGAAATATACTCAAAACCTCCATTTCCTATATAAGTTGTTAGTATTGGACAGCTCAAGGACTTTTCCTCTCTGGATTTTAACTTTCAATATAGTATTTTAAAAAAGAAATCTTGATCATCTTAACATGTTACCATGCTGCCTTGAAGAACTCTTATCATTAAGAGATGAAGTATATGATAACAGCTGAATTAGCCGGATATGCTATATATTCTAACTTACATTTAACCATGCAAAGCTAGAACAGAATGTGAAGTGATTCACTGCTGTCATTGTATACTGAAAGCTGAACATGGCTGGTTATCTTAACAGAAATTGTTCCTGCTTTCTTGTCCTCTGTTATTCAAGCATATGGAAGTAACTTTAGGAGCAAATTCAGGAAAATGATGTCTTAGTCTTTTTAAGCTGATGTTTTTAAGGAACTGATTATAAGCTAACTCTTTGGGCTTTTTTTCAAATTTAGAAAAGCCACCACAGACTTTCTGATCAACGTCAGGCAGTGAACCAAGGTCAGAACCCACTGCCCATCTACCTTGCCCTTAATGTCAAGGACAAAGTTGCCACCAAAGATTTCAGAGGTAATGTTTCAGTTGTGAAAAAGAGCTACATTTTCACCCAGGGAGATACACTGTGGGGATACAGTAAATAAGGATGAATTGTTTTAAATTCTCGCTCCAAGCCCAGAGAAGCAGTGTTCAGAAATGTAAAGAGTAACTGGGCAGGCACACGCTACACATCAAGAGTACAATATTTTGTAAGATCTCTTGGCATTAGATTGTGTATTTTCAGGTATTAACTTCAGAACATAATTCTGTGACAAAGTTTCAGAAATTATATGAATTCTTCAAGAAAGTGATTCACTAGAGCTTTAAGTTTGCTTAATGTATGTTCTGGTCCATGATGGCAGTTGGCACTCTATCTTTAAAGTCCCTTCCCATCCAAACCATTCTCGTACTCTGTTTTTCATAGTGGGTTAAAGGCAATAGAAGTCATAGTGAGTTCTAGTTCACCTTCCATGAGAAAACTTTGTACTCACTAGATAAAAAGAAGAATGATTTGAATATTCTCCAACCCTAACATAGTTCTTTCACAAACCTGGGGACAGTGTGATAGCTGGTTCACCAGTGGCTGTTGGCAGGGTTTGCTCAGGACACATGCTGAGCCAGTTTTCTTGTGAGAGCCATTGTCTAAGAGGCTTATTCCAAACCTGGCAACTGGACTATTTACTATAGTGGAGCTAACCTTGGTGCATGTGTTGGCAGAGTGGGTGGAGTTCACGCCGTACGAGGTGGGCTTCCTGAAATATGGTGCCTTCATTCGTGCGGAGGATTTTGGCAGCGAGTTCTTCATGGGTCGCCTGATGAAAAAACTCCCTGAGTCACGAATCTGCTTCATGCAAGGTAACTCACCAACCTGGGGGAGTGACAAGATTTTAATAGAAACATCAATGATTTAGGAATTTGTCCCCAGAAACTTGTTAGCATGAGGCAGCAGAGGCACTGGGTCAGTCAGCTGACAGCCTGCCCAGGAAAGTGATCACAGCACCAAGCCTGCCTGAGCTCAAAAACTGTTTGGACAATGTTCTCAGGCACAGGGTGTGATTATTGGGATTGTCCTGGGCCAGGAGTTGGGCTTGACGATCCTTGCAGATCTCTTCCAACTCAGGATATTATATTATTCTATGTTTCCTGAGACTCATTCAACTGCCCTTGCCAGCAAAGGTGGGTTTATCATTTGCTGTCCTGGGCCAGGAGTTGGGCTTGGCGATCCTTGCAGATCTCTTCCAGCTTGTGATATATTATTCTATGTTTCCTGAGACTCATTCAACTGCCCTTGCCAGCAAAGGTGGGCTTATCATTTGGTCTAAGATAAAAGTAAACTAAAATAGCAAATAAGTTGTCATGTAACTTTGTAAGTGTTTTTGAGGCATCATAATTTCCTGTAACTTCCAAAAACTTTTCAAAGTTGGAAATCTATGATACTCTGTGGAAGCCAAATAAAATGTTGAAAAGAAATCAGTGGAGTGAGAAAGCGGACAACCAGAGAAGGACCTGGCTGAAAATATTTCTTTATTAAAGGAAAAAGGAAATGAAAATAGAAACATGAAAACTGACTACAAAATTAAAAAAAAAAGTTCCAGGTAAAACATGGTGAGAGGGAAAAGACTTGGAAATTTTTTCTGAAATAAGTTTGCCTAGATAGGTTTGTCTTTGGAGTCTACCACTGAAACAGATGTCTGAACTTATGCAAAAATTGGAGTTAGAGAAGAGCTGGGGAAGGAGCAGAAGGCAATTTTAAAAGAACTTGTGTTTACGTCTGCATTACTTATTATACCTCTCCCACTTTCTAGGAATGTGGAGTAGTATATTCTCCAAAAACCTCTTGGATGCCTGGCATGCAGCTGACAATTCAGAAGACTTCTGGCACAGGTGGACCCAAGACAAAGTGACTGAAATAGGTAAACCAAAATACCTTCCTCCAGACCCCTCTGATAGAGTAACTGCACTCACATTTCCCATTTTTATATCATCCTGTTCCTCTCAGTCTCTGAGCATGGGACATACCAGAAAAATGAAGTTATTTGATTTTATTGATAATAGTCAGTGCTTTGCTTAAATAATGAGACTGTGATGAGAAGGAAAGGCACCATCAGACAGTCCTTTATATCAAGGAGATAGGGATGGACAAATATGGGAGGTCTCTAAAGTGTTGTCCTTAAAAGGCTGGGAAAGAAATACTTCTGTCAAAGCCTCACATCACCCATTTGTTAGCAGGAAAGAAGCTTGATTGTTTCTGTTTCAATAGCTTCTTGCCCTGTGCAGCACAACCCTCCCTCAAAACCTGACTAAATTGAAAGACTCAGACATCAAAAAAGGTCAGTGTGATGGAGCTCTTCTACCAGGTGAGAGAAGCAGCTCCGTACCAAAGACCATTCCTTGGAAATACTCATGAGCATCTTCATGACAAAATTCAAGCAAAGCCAGTGAACAGACTTGGGCCACATTTCTGTGGACTATGTTTTCATTAAAAAAAACCCCAAAGTCTTATGTTTGCATTTATATAAATAATTTGCAAGTTTTGTTGAATTTAGGTGACCACAACTGAAGCAAATAGAACAATCTAGCTTTTAAAAGTAAAAATATTTAGTTTGAAAATAAAGGGCTGAAATTTTTCTATGCTTTTCAAAATAAGCTTCAAATGTGATATTTAAACTATATGAAATGTAAAAGCAGTAATTCATTAAAATGCATTAATAAAATTATTTACCCTGTTTGTTGTTTGCTTGGAAAAGTAAATTACTTCAGTCTGTATCAAAATCATACTGTTTTATGAGAAAAATATTCTTTTAGTCACGTGTGTAACCAGCCAGAGTTTAGAAAACACAAGTTTATACTTTCATCATTAAATTAACTGGAACTCACAGCAGATCATAAGGAAAATAATAAAATACTGAGCTGTGAACACATGATTACAGAAGACCCATTGACCTTTTCTCCTCTTTGTGTCATGCTCTGCTTAATTATGGTTATAATTCAGTTTCATGCTATTTATGCTGTGTATCTCTAGAGGAACAACCAGACCTGCCTGAGAAGCCATATGAGATGGCTACGTGCGTTTTCACTCCTACCAGTGGCCTCTCCACTACACTACGGGACATCCTGACGGATCGCCCCGCTGTCTCCAAGTACCACAACTTCCTAAGGGGCTTCCAGATGCACAACGAGTACATCCAGCATGAACATTTCACAAAATGGAAAGGTGTGGATGGCTCTCCTGCCTACATATCTCCTTGGGACAGGCACAGGGGCTGGGAATTAGCGAGGGATGTTTGCATGTCCTGAAAAGAACTGAGTGAGTTTTGTGGTTACCTGTTAGTGCTCACTGAGAGGAGGAGAATGAAGGAACTCCTCATACCTTTCACTTTCAGTAACACAAATGTTCAATTATTTAGCCATTGGGTACTTTAAGTCCTCACAGGAATAAAAATTCCTAGGGTGGGGCTCTGCATATAAGGAAACATCTGGGTAGGTTTCAGTGCAGTTCATGGGTTTAGAAACACAACAAAATGTGAGTGGAGAGGCCGAAAGAGCTTTGGGATTGCTGCATGCTACCTACCCTAAAGCAAAGGGAAAATCCTGGATGGGAGGGAAGCTCACCTTCCTTTTGCCTTCTAACTTGACAAATATCTTTTTGCAGTTTGCTAATAGCTCTGAATCTTCCACTCTTTAGACACTTTGCTTGACAGCTCTCCCAATGACCTGAGAGCCAACTCGGAACACTTGGAGCTGGTGGATGCAGCTTTCTTCTTTGAAACCAGTTACCCACCCCTTATGAGACCAGAGCGGAAGGTGGATGTCATCATACACTTAAATTACACAGGTGGATCACAGACATTGGTAAGAAGTCTCAAAACTGATTTTCTTTCACAGCAGCTTTTGCTTTGCTTTCTACTACTTTCAAACAGATGTCCTTGAAACATGGAACTTAGTGGAATTTAGTAACATGCTGTTTTCAAACCTTAGAAGAACGGAAATTTCTAGAGAGGAAAATATATGTATTTTTCTCAAACTACTTTTGAAATATCCTGAAGTTCTCCACCAGTAAAATACAGATAGGCAAAGTGAAGTTAAAAAAGTCTAGCTGCCATGTCTATTATAGTCTTCCATATAATATTTAACAGCACAAATATAGTTAGGAAACTTTTGTGATTCAAGTGCTGAATTTAATCTGCATTTTGCTTATAAATGTATGACTTTTTTTTCTTTTTATTTTAATGTTGATTTTCTAGCAAGAATACCCTAGTGAGTAATGGATTTCTTCATCTCTATTTTTATCTCTTTTAATAAATACATTTTTTCTCCCTAAAGAGTGGAGTTGAAGTGAGGTATCAACTGCATTTACTGCTCTTGCAAGTATCTAATTTAGTTATATACTCATTCAGTTCTAATTTAATTAATGGTCTAAAAAGTGATTTGAAGTTATCTGTTCTGTTTCTACATCATATTCTCATTTTAGAGATGTGCCTTAGTGCAGGTTTAAACTCTCTTTGCCATCTTGATATTAGGTGTTTTCCTGGAAGACTATTTCCAAATGGTTTCCCAGGCAACTGAAAAGCCGTCCTTGGGGCTGCAGGTGTCCACGTTATTTCTGCTGTCTGACTCTCAGTCTGTTTTGCGCAACTTTGCATGAACTGCTGGGCTTTGGCAGCAGTCTGATCTTTGTTATCTTTTCTGTCCCTTGTGCTGCTGCTGCTGACCAGCCCCTGGAGCAGGCTTGCAAATACTTTGCAGAGCAGGAAATTCCATTTCCCTGCATTGGACTGACAGATGATGAGAAGAACCTGAAAGAGTGCTACATGTTCGATGGTGCAGACACCCCAGGAGCTCCTCTGCTGCTTTATTTTCCATTAGTGAATGACACTTTTCAAAGATATGTAGAACCTGGTAAGTTAACAGTACCCAGGTAACTTTATTGACTCAAGAAACATTCCCACTCCCCGGGTGTTTTTCCCTCAACCCAACAGAGCCTCCTTTTGTTTGCTTGTTCAAACTTGCGAATAGATTGCAAAATGGGATGATTCAAACTGTTTGCAAAATCTGGTGAAGTCTTGTGCATATTTTTATTTGTGTCTTGGTGCAATTCAGGGAATAGAAGAAATGTGTTCCTCAATTAAAAGAATGGAAGCTAATCTCCTCTTGTAATTTCCGAGAGTTTACTTTAGTAAATAGAACAAACTATATTTTTCAAATTATGTGTGGCTTTATGACACTCAGATCTAGGTGAGAATCACAGTATAGAATGGTTCTGTCAAGGGCCACCGTGCCTTCTATTTAGGCCATTTAATATGCTCATTCAATCTGCTGGAATATCAAAGCAATCGTACCTAAAGTGTCCTTCTGGATTAGTATTTGAGATGGAGACTTTCTTTTAAGATTATTTCCAAGACAATGAATATTCTGCTTCCTCTTGTCCCATATATCTCTATTCCTTTTCATTTGTGTTATACCAAAGAACATGCCTGGTAAGCTTTGAGCAGTGGTGACCTCACAAAATGATGTGCCATGAGCTGGTCAGTAGATGGTGCTGATTGCAATGAAAATGACACATGTTTTATTCCAATAGGCTTTGTTCAGAAGAAGATTTCTCAGAGATCATAGCATTACACTTATCTTCATAGTAATTGCATCTATGATCTCTCCAAGTTATTATCGGCCTATCAAAGTATGGTATTTCTGTGGGACTATACAAACACATTCCTTTTTTTCCCTTGACAGGCATGTCACGTACTGCTGCTGAAATGGAACAGGGCAAGGTTGATATCTCCAGTTTCTCCTCTCCATACTCAAACAGGGAGGTCTCACTGAAAGCAGAAGATTTCAACAAGCTTCTGAAGCTGGCTAATTACAACATAATGAACAACGAGAACATGATTCTTCAGGCCTTGCGCATGGCTGTGGCACGGAAGAAACAAGCCCTGAGCCAGCCAGCATCACAGGCACAGCCCTCTGCTTGAACAGCATTTCCCTGTCCCTTACTAAGCATTTACCAAGACAGCATACATGTGATAAATGCTTCACCATTCTTGGCAGGGGCCATAGCTTTCTAAGTAACCTTCTCAATCTTATCCAGAATTGTGGTATTAAACTCAGCAGTTTCTCTTGTTAATACCCGTTAATACCATCTCACTGGTGATGAAGATTCAGCTGTGTGTGATAGAGAAATAGCATTAGCTCTCCTTGTCTGCAATCTCTTATGGTCTTGGTGGCTAGTTGCTAATATTTTTTCATATGCAAAATATTTTGGCATTTCATTGGGACTATTGGTAGCAAAACCATAAAGCCCTCTTCAGACACAAAAGGTGGTCACCATGCAGTACCAATTTAAGACATTTTACTTAGCTTTAATGACCTGGATGAAATGGGCTTCTACTGTTAAAGAGTTTTGTTTCCCAGATGCTTCTTTTTGGTCATGAATTGTCATGAAATAAATATTTTATGAAGGATGTTTAATTTTTCAAATTTGTGTTGGACAACACAGATGCGGGTCAGTGGCCGTTTAGGTCTTTGATCATCTATTCTTATCAATTAAATCAAACTTAGAAATTTGATTTGATGGACTATTGCTATTTCCTCTCACGACCAACTGTGTCCTGTCCCAGATGACATATATGTTCTGCAGTTATCTCCCCAAAATGCAATTTTGCTTTAGCATCATCTGGAACTTGTTCAGTATAGTGTATTGAACTATTATGAAATCAGATTGTGTGAAGGGGATTTCAGGAGGCATGGTAATTGAACACTGGAGACATGCAGTAAGATACCAATCTTCTGTTCACTGCATCACAGTGTATCCCATACTTAAACACACTTAAGGCCAAGAAAAGTCCAGCAGAGACAGATGTGGAGCTTCTGTTTCTGGTGAATTCTTCCTTAGAGGTAACTGGAGAGAGAGAGGTATTCTTTAGGTATTCTTTTCTTGGTTGAGAAGTTCATTTTTACTGGTTTTACATAAAGAAGCATTGTGAAAGAAAAGCAGATGCTGGTGTCTAGGAATTTCTCAAGGGTCAGCCATGATGAGCCTTGCAGGAGTTCCTCAGAGCCTAAACAAGCAAGCAAGAGCTACAGAAGAGTGTCTGCTTTCCACAAATTCTCCAACAAGGTACATAGAAAATTTCTGCCTTATATTCTAAAATCCTGCTCACTGTTTTATTTGAGCACCCACTCATGAGCTCAAAAAAAGGTATCTGAACTGTCAAAATGGGTATCATGACTGACTCCTTAATGCCTGCCAGGGAGGATATAATTATATTTGTCAAAGTCCTCCCATGACTGCGAAGTTCTGGGCATTTCAGCAGCTTTGTAAATTCTGCAGGCTCTGAGGAACTCTGGTACAGATTCAGTTCTCAGTGGTTGTTCCTTGTTGGAAATATTTTTGTCAGGATTAGATACTCTGATTTTGCCTGTGAACTTTTTCAGTGATGGTGAGCATGTGCTCCTTCCTGATTTTACCAGCCTCAGATTGGTTGGAAAAGGCGTATTCCTAAGACAACAGAAACAGCTCTCTGTAGATGTCTCACACAGCCTGCTTTACCTTTTCTATGTCCCATCTCAGAACCTGTGATGCACCCTAAAATCTCAGATGACCTGAAGGAAACCAGAAAAGGTAGCTTCTCAGCCACTGGCATGGTGTCTCATATGGTCACACTAGTGTCGTCCCAAATGCCAGTTCTGGCACTACTACTAGATTTTCTTCAAGCAGAGGAACTTGGCAGCCAGTGTCTGGGATGGGTTCTCTCCAGCTCCATGCCCTGCAGCACTTCCTGTGGAGGAAATTCCTCAGGGAGAACCCTTGTGTAGGAGAGGTGACAGAGGCCTAGACACTGGCCCATCCTTTCCCTTCTTGGTACTAAGTTAGTGAGCACATTTTTGTGGATAAGACACCCCTTTTTGTATACTTTTGTTATTAATATTTCTATTTCCCTTCTTGGTACTAAGTTAAGTTAGTGAACACGTTTTTGTGGATAAGACACCCCTTTTTGTATACTTTTGTTATTAATATTTCTGCAGTTACTGTGTGTTTCTTATCCCACTGTTTTTTGCTTTCCGTAGATTTTTATCTCAACCTATAAAGCTCGCCTTTTTCCCTCCCTCACCGGATGGGAGCGGGGAGAGGGGGTGGCTTATTTGGAGTTTAATTTCTGGCTGGTGTTACATCACCAGGGTGGTCCAGTCATTCAGCTGAACACGGCTGTGTTAGCTCTGCATGGCCAGGTTCTGGTAGCAGAAGCCTACAAGGGTGGCCAGCATGAGAAGGTGCCAGAAGCTTCCCCCATCTCCAGCAGAGTCAATGCCAGCTGGCTCCAAGACTCACCCACCCCTGGCCAGGGCCAAGCCCATCAGCAGCAGTTGTACTGCCTCCGGGATAATGTGTTTAAAAACAGGAAAAAACCCAGTGGGCTGAGCCCATCAGTAGCAGCTGTACTGCCTCTGGGATAATGTGTTTAAAAACAGGAAAAAACCCTGTGCAATATTAACTGCAGTGGAAGAGAGGAGTGAGAACATGTGAGAAACAGGCCTGCAGATATGAATGTCACTGAAGGAGGAGGTGCTCTAACTTTGGAGCTGAGATTCCCCTGATGCCTGTGCTAAACAATTGTCAAATAACTATTTAACTGGCTGTTCAATGACCATGGTGAGGCAGGCTGTCCCTCTCAGCCCTTGCTGGCCCATGGTAGAGCAGATATTCACCTGCAAGCCCTGGAGAACCCCACATGGAGCAAGTGGATGCCTGAAGGAGGAAGTGACACTGTGGGAAGCCTGCGAAGGAGCACATCCTGTGGCCCATGGAAAAAGGAGTCCACACTGGAGGTTTGCTGGCAGGGACCCACGCTGGAGGGGTGTGTTTCTGTGGAACTGCACCCCAATGGAAAGGACCCACACTGGAGCAGTTTGTGATGAACTGCTGCCTCTGGGAAGGACTCAGGTTGGAGAAGTTCATGGAGGACTGTTTTCTGTGGAAGAGACCCCACACTGGAGAATGTGAGCTTCTAGGGTGGAGGAGGTACCGAAAATCAGGAGAAAATAAAGCCCAAGAAGAAGGGAGGGGTGGGGAAAATGTGTCTAAAGATTTATTTCTGATTATCCTGTTTTGATTTGATCTTTAATAAATTAGGCTGATTTCCCCAAGCTGAGTCTGTTTTGCCTTGATGATAATTGGTGAGTGATCTCTCCCTGCCCTTAACTCAATCCATTTGCCTTTCATTAAGTTTTCCCTCCCCTATCCAGCTGAAAAGGATGGGGTGCATGATAAAGTCATGTTGGTGGGGACCTGCTATCCAGCCAAGATCAAACCACCACAGCTTCTCAGTGTTGCTTGGTTGTGTTTTGTGGAGGATTTGGAGATTTTTTGGTTGTGGCATTTTTGGGGTTTTTTGGTGTGCTGTTTTTTGGTTTTGTGTTGTTTTGTGTGTGTGTTTTTGTGGATTTTTTTTTTTTTTTTTTTTTTTTTTCCGGGGGGGTTGGGGGGGAGGGTTTACCTTTTTTTTTTTTTTTTTTTTCTCAGGAGGGGTTGGGGGGAAGGGTTTACCTAAGGGGAAAACATATTTTTCCATAATCTGGATATTAACAGCTGCTGCTGCCCTCTCATCATCTTCATGTTTTTCCTCTGGACTTGCTTCAACAGGTCCATATCTTTCCAGTTCTGGGGCTCCGGAGCTGGGCACAGCACTGTAGGTGGGGTCTCACAAGAGCAGAGTAGAGGGGCAGAATCCCCTCCTTCAACCTGTTGGCCACACAGCTTCTTTTGAAGCTTTTGCATCTCTTTAATTGAAAGGTTATTGAGGGTAGATTCCTAATCCTAAAATCGTTGCTTACTTAAGTAATTTTCATTCAGAGAAAAGTTGTAAGGTCAGAAATGACTCTATTGTGTATTTTCCTGGTGTATGAGAGTGATAGGGGAAGGCAGGTTGTGGCTGCTCTGAGCGTATAGTATCACCTCCTTCAGTTCTGAAGAGGTGATTTCATATAAGATGTCTGGTCATGTTAGTAGCTGGACCCCTACAATGGCTATTAATCTGCTGCTTCACAATTTTCTGCCAGAAATTTGAAGACTTTGGTGTCATTTTTACATCACAATCGGATGACACTGTGTTGTGCTTAAAACAGCAAGATGTTAACATTTAAGATGAATCAACGCGTACCTTGAAGTTTTGTGTTTGTGGAAGCCTTCGGAAAGCAGGAAATTGTATATCCCACTAATAAATATACTAATTAAATTGGGGAAACATCTACCAGTAAGCAATTTCAGGCCCTCTATCTCCAAGAAAAGGAAAATAAATACAATTTGGTTGAAGAAAAGGCCTTCTATAGTTATTTAATTTAAGATGCTTTTGTTTGCTGATTGGGGTGCTGTGTGCCTACATGTAGCTACTATTATCTTCTGTGGTTTGTTAATTGCTGAGGCTTCTAGAACATAGATATCCATGCATAAGTGCTGTGTGTTATCACCTCCTTATCTTGAATTGCTGATAACTCTTGGCACCTTGGTGTGTACAGCCTTCCCCAAACACACACCCCTGGTATTTAGCTATCAAATAAACCCAGCAAACTCCCTCCCCTTTTCTTCTCATACTTTCCCTGCAATGCAATGAGGAAGGTGGGGCTTGGATATACCACTTGCTCCTCAGCAGGTGCCTCCTTAAGTTTTGCAGAGGTAGTTTGTGAATCACAGCTGTTGCCTCTGACAGTGAAGTGACAATCCATCTCTGACTTGTATGCCGCTGGGAGCAGGATGGGCTCATACTGGAGTGCTTGTGAGGTAAGTGTGTGAAAGCTGTAGGAGCTAAAAATGGCCTGGGGTGTGTTTGTGGCTGGAATTCTGGTCAGGACAAGAGGACTTGTGAGCTTTTATTTCTAATTTCATGCACGTATTTACTTATTTATGTATGGATGACGTATACCTTTGCTGATATTAGTTGCCTTGTGGAGGCAGTCTTGGTAGTGAAGTTCAGCCATGGTGGATGATTGACATGGAGGCTGGGAACCTTCTGAAGTGCCTCACAGGAGATTTCTGTGAATTTGGGATGAATCTATGGTTTGACCCAAGCATTATGTAAGCTGTGCTCTTTCACAATGCAGCATCTGCCAGCTGTGACTATAAACATATATAGGTGTCCTGGTAGTTGTGCTAGCAGCCCCCTGGTAGTGATGCACACAGGAAGGTCACTGCCTAAAACCAGTTATTAATAGTGATGGTCTTAGTTTCATATTTGTCCATGACTGATGCACAAAAAAAATCTTGATCTGTCTCAGAAGTTGGGGAGCGCTGTGTATTTTTTGTTTATTTGTTTTGGTGTTTTGGTTTGTTTGTTTATTTGTTTGACAGAAGGATATTTGTCCATGACTGATGCACAAAAAAAATCTTGATCTGTCTTGGAAGTTGGGGCTCACTGTGTGTGTATTTTTTGTTTGTTTGTTTTGGTGGTTTTGTTTTTGTTTGTTTGTTTATTTGTTTGACAGAAGGTAAGTGGGAAGGAAAGCCCTAAAACTGACTGTTGGGTTCCAAGGAATGAACGTACTCTGTCTCCTTCTCAGTTCTGAAATTAACTTTCAATTTGCTATGAACAAGTTATTTGAGTATTCTGTGCCCTGCTTCCCTGGTTGTGTAATGGAGATTATAGTGCTTCTCCCCATATACATGGATATGGGGAGAAGCACTATAATCTCCATACATATGTTGAGACAAATGTGTATTGATGCTTGCTGATCTCAAATGGGGCATTCCCATGGCTTAAGAAATAACACATGTGAATATCTAACCAGTCTGGTCAAAGAAGCACTAAGCTACAAATTAACTACAAATTAATATTTTTAAACAGAACCTGGCAATGGTCTTTGTGTGGAAAATATGAAAGTGAGCAAAGAGACTGTCCTCTCTGCTCTTCCCCTTTCCCTTAACCACTGAAACAGCATCAGGAGTAAAAGTAGAGACTTCTTAGAGATAGGGGGGTGAGGGCAGACTTTTTCCACACAGAACCTAAACCCAGACAGATTAAATTAAAACATGCCATTCTCTTTTGGAGTCAGACATAAAAACATACCAAGGTCAGCTTATTGTAATTTGAGAGTGATGGGAGAATTAGTAACTTCTCACCTGGATCAAATTCCTAACTGGAAAAAAGGAGAGGAGTGACATAACTCACTTAAGGAATTTGGTGGAGTAATTTTGCTAGCAGAGAATGGGTGAGGAACGAGGTAATGCTTTCAGTGAAGCAATAGCTAAAGTTTCAGATACTAAAATCTACAAGAATTTATAATTGTTTTGAGTCAGGTCTGTTATTTGCTTTTCCTTCTGCACTTGACATTTCAGCTAATGATCCTTCTGCAAATGTCTAACATCTGGTTTGAGTAGGGAAGTTTTGTTAACATCTCTTCCAAAGCTGTTTTTTTTGGATCTACTTTTTTCATGTTGTGCTACATTCTGCTGATGGTGCCTCACTCTCCAAACAGTGCCACAAAGAAATTATTTCTTCTGTCAATGACATATACACAGTGGAATATTCCCTCAAATTTTTTCCATTTTTTAAACTCCACGTAGATGTGATTTTAAATTCCAAAGTAGTGCAAGCAGTTTCTCTTCCAATTTTGCTGCATGGCTTTGAAAATTTCTACAGGAATTTATGAGAGAGCCTGTTTTATGAAGCATAAACAATTTAACATTAATGCAGGTAATAAACTTTTTCATTTTTCTGCAGAGAGATGAATGCCCCTGCTGTTCATTCTTTGTGAAAATCATAAGAATGAAAAATCTGAGAAAGGCAGACCTGTGTGAGTATCAGTCTTTCTTTGCATTTTTTAGTAGTTTGGTTCTGAAAGCAGAGAACATGTTCTTGCTACTGGCATTGTAACTGGTACCTGAGCATGAAGTGACACCATGGTTTCAAATACTGATGAATATTTGAATTTGGACTATACTTTAAATACATTTTTATATAAACAATACATTTTGGTTTATAGCATGTTGCTATTATTAGTGGAAATAGCAAATGTCTACTGTGGTGTACTGTAAAGTACCTTAACTGCTAACAAGGTTCAGAGGCAGATTGATGAACAAATTCAGGTGTTAATTCTCAGTTGCAGTTTTTGAATTTATTTTTGCTTTAAAGAAAATAAAAGTTAGAAGGAGCATTATATATCTTATTTTTAAACAGCTTATTTTTCTGTTAAGATTTCACTGAAATGTATTTGAAGTAGACTTTCAGGATAAACAAGTACCGTTGAAATGTTTCTGAGGACTTGGAATGAATGAAAGTGGAAAGAGAAAAAATCTCAGCTGTTACTCAGGTAGGAGAAAGAAAGCTCAATATCTCAAATATCTGACTCAGAAAGAACAAGTCAAGAATAAAATGGAAAGGAAGTGAATATAAACCTTTGTGTATCAAACAAGACCAAGTGAACACAGCAAGTATATTTGCCTCCAATTGAAATTCTTATTAAATTCTTGGTTTTGTGCCATTGTGTCTAGCACAAGGATATTGCCTTTTCTTGAAAACAGCAAATCTTTAGGAAAAAAAGTGTAAGGATGTTTCAGTTCCCTGTCTGTAATTTCTATCTCAGCTGAACAGTTTTCTGGCATGTTACCACCCCAAAGGAAATTTCTAAGCTGCCTTGACAGGCAATAGCATCAAGACAACCAGAGCTGATAACCAAATGTGTGCCTCTGGCCTTAAAATCAGGGATGTTTCTCTCTTTCTCAGCGTTTTCTAATGGTTGGAAATTATGATCTTTACACTCTTATGGACAACAGAACTTCCAGAAATCTATAGCTATTTATCTTAGCTGCTTATCTTTTATTAGTCTTTGTCCTGTATCTTCATTTTGAGCAGATGATTGATTATCCAACTTCAGGTTTGGAGCTATAGCACTGGAGATTTGCTTCCAAAGCCACATGTGGAAGAAGGTCTTTTCTAGAAAGAGGCAGAAGCAGCAGTGCTAGGTGACAGGGTCTTAGAGGAGCTGCTTCATCCCCCTCCATTCCAGCTGTCGTTATTGTGTGCAAGAGAGCACCACATTTTGTTTACCCTCTGAGAATCAGGACCAAGTTACCAGTGTCACAGCAGAGAGTCAGTGAGTTTTTATCTTCCCTGTACATGTACACTGTCTCAGAGCAAATAATTTTGTTAGTAGAGCCATGCAACACGGTGTGATACACACAGCACAAGAAACGAGACTGTTAAAAAGCATTACATTGAATGAGAAAAGCAGCATGAGAGTGTAGTGCAATCCTTTATGTAGCTTACGCTTATTTGTTTTAATTACTATTTCTGTACAACTTAAAGTTTTTAAGAGAGACAGAAATGAGGACAGAGAGTTGAAAGAAGTCATTCCAGCTGCAAAGAGCCATTGGTGTTCTGTTGGACTCAGGATCTGGTTTTGGAAGACTGCCTGCTGAGCATGGGTACACTTTGCTTTCCTTCAGCTGTGGCACTGCACACCTAATGGGCCCTCTTTGTGAGAGGGACTGCTACCCACAGCGTCCATGTCTTGCACACGGACATTTAACATAGGACTTATTTTTTTTATTATGGGTTAGCTGTGGCAATAATTGTGCTATTGACCTTTTCCCTGTGTATCAGACAAAAGGTTGTGTTTGTACAGGGTGTAAATGTAATAACAAGGATTAGGCTACTAATATGCGTTAAAGTCTGTTAGGAATAAGGCTTACTTATGAACCTGAAGGAATTGTTTGCCAATTGTGAAGGTTATCAGGTAACTATAATCTAAGTAGTACATTTCATGAAGACATAGCTGTTGCAACTTCTAGGCATGTTTGAGTCTGGCTAAATTTTCCTAGTGAAAATTTAGAAGAATAGTGATACCAGACCAGTCCAAAGTCTCATTTGTTCCCAGAACTGGCTTATAATAAATGGTTTGGGGTACGACAAACACTGAACCATGCTTTTCCCTGACCCACTCTCCCAAGAAGTCTGTGGTTCTTGAGGTCTGTGGCTGAGAAGTCTGGCTTCTGAGTCAACAGTAGGGTTTGCATTTAATTGTTATACCCCAAATTATTTGCTTCTGGAGGCCATTAAGGGATCTTATTTTGCTACTTGTTATTTCACTTTGCTCTGGACAGGAACCCAGATACTAATTTTCAGTTTCACAGGAAAACACCATTCCCAGTTTCAGATGTTATTCTCTGGGGAGATCTATATGGTTATATTGCTAACTAAATAGTTACAGACATTTCTTTTTTTCTTTTTGCCTTGCATGGGCAGCAGAAACGCCTGCATGAGAAAACCTGGTCCTTTCCAGGCTGGTGTGAAAAGGTATTTTTTATATATTAGATATGTCAGCTCTTACACCAAGACAACTGCCCCCTTGTATTTATCTCAAGAATTGCAGAATACTAATTATTATATGACTGCCACTATCTCTGGCTTTAAAACTGAGGCAGCTTTGTGGCTGTCATAAATCTTCAAAAATACATCCAGCATTTCTGCAAAATCTGGAGGATGCAATTTCTTCTCAGCTGTCCAACAGGGCTTACCTGTGGCACCAGAAAAATGGGGAGTCACTGACAGCATCAGGAGCAAAAGTCGCAAGCTGAGGTGCCTGGGCTCTCCATGTTCTTGTTTTCATAAACTTTGTCCACCAGAGAAGATTACTGGAAGAGGGCATAGTTTTTCTGTTCACATCCCAGTTATTTCACAGAAGCCAGCTTTATGCCAGGCTCTGCATTTCCATCATTTAACCATGGCACAGTTACTTTCTGGAGAGACTTGCTAGCCAAGTACTACTGCATTTCACCCCATCTGCTGCTTATAACAAGAGCTGGATGGGTCTTGTGTAGATTCCTCAGAGCAGGTCTTGTTTTCAGTGTGGCTGCCTAGACCTGCCTTGTTGTGTACAGTCCCACTGGAGCACACCCAGCACTCACTGATCCCAGAGGCTGCCACTGCAGTCACAGCAGGCCAGGGGCTGGCACAGCTGGCAAATCTGGTTTTGCATGGCCCTTTTCTCAGCAGCTAGGTTCACTGATCTTCCAGGAGATAAAATATCTTCTACACTGCAAATTGACATCTATGGAAGAGAAACCTGTTTGCTTCATGGGCTACAAGTGAAAGATAAACTTAACATTTTCTACATATGTGTATTTAACAGAAATACTCTATTCAGAAGACAAAAAATGTCTTTAGAATTGGTGACGCATCCTAATTAGCATTTTGAAAAGTTCAAGGCTGCAAAAAGTTTCTCCTGGAATAGTCTACAGCTACTTTTTTTTTGGTTTGTCTTCTTTAGTATGAAAAGATAATTTCAATCGGCATTCTCAATAGATAAAACTTTAGGCTCCTCTTTACTATAGTACTAAATCTGGGCCTTATTAAATCTGAGCCTGTTGCTATGTAATTTCATAGCAAGCTCATAATGCTACACTACCTATTGATTTTAAAAGTTGGAAGGTAGTAGTACCAATGTTTTTCCTTATATCACCTAAACCCCGTGTAAGACCATCATAATAACAAAACCCCTTTCAGTGCCATGCTCTCCAGAGGAAACTAGTGTGTATGGAAAAGACTGATTGGAGATGTGCTCACAATGTGCTGTGTATATTCCCTTTTGCTTTACCTCTGACTGTAGCACTGCTGTGAGAGGGTAGCAGCAGTCTTTGTGCAAAGAGGGCACTCGGGCAATGTGGTCAGTGCCAGCAGGCAGCTGCCTGGGCTGGCCAGTGCTAGTGGCACACTTGCTTTAGGGTAAAATTGTTTCCCATGGTCATTGATGTTTGCAATGGTTAAGAGTAATCCTGGGATGTGGTCCATTAAAAAGAGTGTTAGTGTCTTTTCAGGGCACCTCATTTAGGTTCCTGATGTCACTGCCTCTTCAGAGAGGCAGCTTTTGCATCAATGGAGAGGAAAGCCTAAAAGAGCCCAAGACAAATGCTTGGCAAGAAGAATCTGCACGAGGACAGAGAAGTCGTTATGTGGATAACTGCCAGGTTGCAACAAATCCTGTAAACAGGGATTTCCTAACTGGTTAAGAAACTGAAACAGGTATAAAAACAGCCAGTAATCACAAGATGATCCTCCCTGTGATGTCATATCCCAGAGCAGGGCTTTTTTACTGTAATAGTAAGCTGATTAGATCAAGTTCAAGAACTAATTGCATAACTACTGAGGTACCTGTTGAAATGGAGGCCTGGTCTGGACTGATGTTTGTAATAAAGTCATAACCACAGTTAATAATAGGAGTAACAACTGAATGGATAATCTCAGTGAATATTACATTAATCAGTTTCATAGCTGCATTTCTTTCTGTTCCTTTCTATTCAGTCTTTTTGGTTTCATCGACTCATGTGAACTAAGCCTGCTCATGCTCTTCCTCAGTTCATTGTTACCAAACACATATATAAAGCTAGTTTTCCTCAGGTAACCTGTTTTGTATTCTCTAATCTAGAAGATTAATTCCATTTTTTCCCTTTTTTTTCAAGTCTTTGATGGCCATGATGGAGTGTAGTGTATATTGTACTATATACAATTTCACTGTATTGTATTAATGGTAAATAGTATGCAGACAAAAAGCTTTCTCTGTGCCTTGAGAGCAGCATAAACTGCCACTAAAAAGGACAATGCTATTTATAATCAAGGAGATCCTTGCTTGCTCTGCACATCTCCTTACAGCTGTGGAAATAATTGCATCTCTTCTTCTAGGTATCAATGGGTTGTATGTAGGTGTGCAAGCATCTTCTTGCAGCCATGCTGGCTTTTGCGTGTTTCTGAAACAGAAAGCTGTTCTGGTGGTCAAAGGTATTGTGTGCGATGCTCCTT